TTCCCCTAAAATCCTGTATAGTTATAAAAGCTTCTCCCTTTCCCATTGTGTCCTTTCTGCCTGAAGTTTCATTAGTATGTTCCAAAGACTTCTTTCACCTGGAATTTTCTTTATTTCTGACACTAATTAAAAAAGAGAGAGGGGAGAAGAGTGTTGAAGTACTGTACACAAAATAGCAGCACCAAATTAAACTTGGCTTTGCAGCCAAATGACTGTAACTGGAGAGTTAATCTCACATGACAGACCTCAAAATTTCACTCAAGTGAGGCTTGTCATCATGAAACGAGGAGATTTTAATATTTCTTCTCTAGAGCTACAGAATGATTAGGAACTGGAGAACCTCTGGAGACTCGCGCAGTACTGTACGTCTACTGACCAACACAGAAAGGAGCAAAATGGGGCACACTGAGGGGTTTTCACCAGTTTTCAATGCAGCTACACCTATCTCCTGCATTTCTGTCATGTACCCTTTGACTGCTTTCATAAGAATACCCATACTCGATGTGTAGTCTTCACGTTTCAGTTGTCTTCTCATTTACTGATTCTAAAGACTGTCTACTCTGGTTTTCCTACAGACAACATACTTGTGACAAGAGAAAGTAATTTCAACTTAGTGCAAATACACTGTTGCAAACAACTTTCCTTCTACTCCATGCCTCACTAAACAGTTAACAAAATTTTATAAATCTGAATCTACATGCTCATCATTTTGCTCAATACAACGTTTTATATTTTGGTTACCCCGTCTGTACAAACCATGCATTCTAAAGGGGGAGGAAAACAACACCCAACTAAGAGTCTCACTCCTGCATCCCTGAAAGAAAAGAGGGAGGAAGCAGAAAAAAACACTCCCCCCAAAATGGATTCTTAAGGTGGTAACTTTTAGTAAGAGAAAAAGAATTTTTTAAATAGGGATTTATATTATCAAAGCACTTTAAAAAATAAAACTAGTCCTTGTGGTCTAGCGGATAGAAAAAAAATAAATAAAATTGGCAAGTTTAAAAGACTTCCGACTGCATGAGGAAACAAGAGTGCATATGCTCTCTGATTAAAGCTATTTTTTAAAATATTAACTTTAAAAA